TTTCTCTACTTGAGTAGAGTTAATGCTGATAATGTATATAATGATTAATACTGCTAAGTTACCTTATTTTGTTCCTCAGTTATTGAAATACATTTTTCTATTTACAAAGATTTTAAATGGAATGACACTGAAGATATTCCTCACAGTGTATTAATTCATGAAACACTGACCATCAGCACAGGATATCCATGAAAAAAATCCTGTAACTACAGCTTTTACCATATTTTTGGTGTCTCAGATGCCTATTCTCATTTTGTGCTTAAACAATGCATTGAATCGCTCTGTGAAATTATTTGTGGGATGGTTGCAGGAACCTAGTCTGCATCCAGCAGTGTACACTTAATTCAAAATGTTGTTTGAAATTTTTCTTCTTCTTTTTAAAAAAATATTTTTAGAAGTATTATTTTAGATGCACTTTATTGTGGCCTAATCTTCAATACTGTACATGGTCAAACCTTTGAGATGAATAAAGCAAGAACAGGATCAATAATACGTTGATGCGAATGCTAAAAACAACAATAATAATAAAGCATTACATGCTACTAAGAACAGAATTCTATTTTAGACTGTCATTGATACATAGCTGAGAGTAGACAGTGGTGATTTTAAAAAGACTGGTGATTTATAAAGCCATTCTGCCACTCAAATTAGTAAGTTTGATTTCACTAAGTTAATATTAAATTTCAGATAATAGAAAATACTTGAATTTTATAAAAATAGACAACTTGAACAAGTCTAGCCTTTTAGGCGAAATTGGAAGAAATGCAGGTTTTTGCACACAGACTAAAATAAATCTGGAAGTATTCCTTAAAGCCATATAGTAAGCTAAAATAGACGTGTGGCTTTGTTTTAAAAATAGAGGTCATATCATAGTCCTGATCACTGAACTGAAATTCTGTTACTCCATTGACATTAAATGTTGGAATCAATGACTTGCACAGTACCAACTAGGTATGAGATTACAGATTCCATAATTCTCCTTTCTGGTGGGAGTACTGCTTGACAGGCAGATGCCTTACAGGCAGCAAAATGTTACTTATCTGGGAACAACTGGAAGGCTTTGAGGCCAGCTAGGCCAAGCTCTGCCAAAGCTTTCTGTTCAGAAGGAAAGCTCCTAGCAAGACTGGGACAAGAACACAACACTTGGACACAAATAGATCTAGCTAAGCATTAAAGCCTTCCATTTGAGGCCTTTCTCTCAAGTGAGCCACCCAACGTGATAGAACTTCCAAACTAGGGAATTATGGGATTTGTAGTCAAATCTGAACGTCACATCCCTACTACCAGTTATGCTACTTTCATATTAGCAGATAAACAGTAGCAATTTCATAATAACTCGCTTAATCCCATACACTTCATTGTTACTCAAGTTTTAATAGCAACATAATTTTATTAGTGTTATAATACATAAGGTAAGTTTTAAAAGAGTGGGAGGGAGAATTGAATCAAAATGTTCCAATTCCCCATTTAGTTTTTCTATTCATGTATCTCATTATTCCGGGTCTAGTTGCACTGGCCACGTGACCACGGAAACTGTCTACGGACAAGCGCTGGCTCTACAGCTTGGAGACGGGAATGAGCACTGCGGCCTAGAGTTGGACACAACTGGACTAAATGTCAAGGGGAACCTTTACCTTACCTCATTGTTGCAGAGTACAGATGGAAACTTCTTTTGACTGTGGAATTCTGCGTGCTGTGGAGTTCACATAAATGTCCTATAAAATGCATACAAGGTGGCACTATGCTTTACTACATAGACTGGCATACCCAATTATGTTTGAATTGTTTTTTGGGAAAAGGAATTGACAGTACATTAGTAGTAGGAAAACTATTTAGGTTAAAGGTAATATTGAGTAGATTTATGTATTCTACACTTTTATAAAGGCTCTGCACTTCTCAGAATCTTTGAACACTTTGCATGTAGTTCCAGGCAGTTTCCAATCCAGGCTGGACATTAGTAATTTCAGCAGAACTACTGTTATGTGTCCTTGTTGTCCATATAATAGTATGCCCAAAGTCATTAGGAGGTTTTAAGGTAAATTTAATTACATCAAAGTAATAAAAATATGTAGCTTCTCAAATAGCTTGCTGTTCTGAAAACAAGAATTGGCTAAATATATAAAGGCTGCTTGATGATTCATTGCTGCACCCCTGCAGCCCCACATTGGAAACTTCCTCACAAAAATGGAGGAAAGTACTGTAGCTCTGGAATGGTTTCCTTCATGGTACTTATCTTTGGTTTCAAGCTATCAAGCTTGTTGAGCTGATTAGAAAACTCTGATGCTAATTTCCTTTTCTGAAGGCATTAAACACATGAACATATTAACAGCAATTAATATGTTGCTAAAACTGAATAATTTGGTAGTGCCTACTGCTAGGGCCTATTAATATGCAAGTTTCAGGTGTCGTATATTTTATAATATTCATCTCTGTCTTTCACACACACTTCCTTTTTAATGATTATAAGTAGGTATTTGCTGTTCTGTACACATTTTTCCCATGTTGAAGATAGGAAGTGTGTGTGTTTGTTCTTCCCTGTTAGATTCATGTGGTTTTCCTTTCCTTGGCTGAATAACAGCAATACAGAGATTCTGCTTTCCTTCTGCATCAATCTGGATTAAAATGTAGGAGGGTGGTGGTTGACATTTCTGCTTTGTGGTATTGAAATATTTTCTTTATTATTCATTGAAAGAAGTGATTGATTGATTTTTCTGGGCACCAGAGGGTAATGTACAGTTGCTTCGGGGGATAGCATTGATAAGAACTGCAGTCTGAATCTATTGAAGGAAATCATGTTCAGGATCGGTAGGCTACATGAACCAGAAATCGTGTCATTCCTGCACTGTGGCCTACCATCTCCCATACCTACAGAAAATTATAATTTACTTGAAATTTCAGTGAATTCATGCTTTTGAAATTTCTTCCTATGTACACTTGGGTTTGATGAACTCTCAGATCTTCATATCTTACTTAATCATTGTAAATTAAAGGGGGGGGGAGAAATAATAGAAGAAAGCAAAGGACACCTTAAAGACTAATGCAAGCTGTCATGGATCAAAATTCACTTCCTCAGACACATGAAGAGCTCATACTCTGTCATCTGTATTTATATGTATCCTCATGGTGATAAAAATCATGGCTACATAAAGACAGAAGTAGAAGACAGAATGACAAGGCTTCATTAACACAGAAATGGGACTGTCGGATTTAATTACTTCATCTTTAAAAGGGATGGAACCCCAGGAAAGTTTAGGCCCTGGTCAAATGGAAAACTGAATTCCTTCAAATTCACTTAAGTTATGTAATAGAGTTGGCAGAACTAAGGTGAACCTAAGAAAATGAGGCTTTTGCACCAACACAGTCCTTTGTGAGTGTGGAGGTGCACAAGTACTTTCACATCTATGTCAGTGTACTCTATGCCGCTCAACATGTCCTATGGTAGATTTGCTATTACATGCCCCCAATGCTGTTTATGTTGTTCAGTATTGGGTGAAAAGTCTCTGACAGGTTCTTCATGGTCTGTGTGAATCACTCATTTGGGTTTGTTCTGCACCTGTGTGAAAACCTTTGGAACATTCTAGAGTCCAAAAGTTAGTCCACCTCCTTTGTATTGCACATGCTCTTTACCTTGTAAATAATCCTCAGTTCCCTTCCAGCCACCACTAAACTAGCACCTTGAGAACCTTCTTAGAGCCTTCTTTTTCTTCAAATGTTTGCATATAGTTCTTGTAGTTTTTACCTATATCTGGATGTTGATCCATTCAACACCCTCCCTTTTCCTGTGTTCTTCGTCGTCTTTTAAAAATTGTATTATGTGTTAATTGTTGTTTGCAGCCTTCCGACCTTTTTTATGACTTCAGCAGGCTCATTCTTGAGGTGCATCACTTTTTACCACAAGATTGCTGCCACCAACAGTCCCTCTATTAACACATTTATTGTTTTGATGAGGGGCACCAGACTCTCTCTCACACACATATAAGTTTATTGCATGGCACACAGTGCAAAGTGCAGCAAATAAAAGCAATACCATTGAGTACAATTCAATGCACTATGGTATGAGGGGGGAAACTGAAATCAAGTTAGATTTCTATCACAGCTAAAAACCTATTTTTTTAAAAAAAGAACCCTAAGGAAAACTAATACGCAAATCTGTTTTGTTTTACTTCTAATGGGTATAAGTTTCCAATTCCCCATATTTCAGCACCATACAGAATTTGGGGGAGTAACTTGGTTTTATAAATTTCACGAGTGGGAAGGATCAAATGTCCTCCTTTAGTTCTACAGAATCGTAAGTATACCAAAGATAGATTTTTCGAATTTCTGCTTTGTAAAATCAATCTGAAATGCCTAGGAACCTGACTGATAAAACATCGTGCCTAAATATTTAAAGTGAGTTACTGTATTTTTTGCTCCATAAGACGCAGTTTTCACCCAAAAAAGTGGAGGGAGAAGTGTGTGTGTCTTTTGGAGCAAATACTCTCTCCCCCCCACCCCCTTCGCTGCCTTCCCAGGCCTCCGGAGGCCTCAGAAGGCCCCACCCTCACCAACACCCTTGGAAGCTTCCCCTGCTTACAAAGCACCAGGCACCCGGCCGCTTCTCCTTCCTCCTGCTGCTGCATGCCCTGCCCATGGAGCTCCTCCGACCTGTGCGCCCCACCCAGGGTGTTCGGTGGCGCTTGCTCATGAGTAGACCCATGCCTCCTGAGGTTCTTGTGAGTAGACCCATGACTTTTGCAGCCTTTGCTCATTAGTAAACTTGCGCTGTTGGCAGCCCTTACTCATGAGTGAACCCACACCTTCGGGCCCACCCTCACTGACACCCTCCTACCTTAATCGCCACTGCTGAGGGCTTCTGGCCTCGAAGCCACGCATGTAGAAATGGAGACTGCCTGCCCTTTGCAAAGATGGT